GAAAAAAATCTCAGACAAACGCTGTCGTGTTCATGAAGTGTGTTACTGTGTCTCTGACAGCTCCCTGTACCGACAGGCCCTGTGGCAGAGCAGATACCAGCCAGAGATTAGGATGTAATTACACGCCACTTTCTGCTCCTCTCTCTCGGCCCGAGAGAGAGGAGCAGAAAGAAATGGAGGGAGAGAGAGAGAGAGAGAGAGAGAGGGAAGGTAGAGGAGGGGAGCTAAAGTGGTGATAAGGCCATCGTGTGTGTGTGTGTGTTTGGGTGGGACACAATTTGACTGACGGGTCACTGGCTCCAGGACTTACCTTGTGAGAGTGGAGTCGATAAAACACCCAGGGAACGATGATCAGTATGTACAGCACTAAGGTGTGCTGGTTACACAATCCCAAGCCACAGCAGAGCGCTCCCCAGTGGGCAATCTGACAAAGTCAAGAAGAAAAAAACAAAACGTAAAAAAAAAAAAACCTCTGAAACGACTCCTGCGTGAGGAACTTGTTCTCCTGTTTCACCTTCTTCCTTTCCCCTGTTTCCTCAGTGCAGTGAAAGCTGGCGGTCAGGAAGAAGAGCAGACCAACAAAGAGGTTGTTGAGTGTGAACACCTCGGCCACCATGGACCACTGCCAGCTCAGCCTGGACGCAGCAAACAGGCCTGCGGTCAGCACCGCTCCAGGACCGGGACCTGTCAACCTGACGGTAACAGAGAAGAAGCAGAGTTCATTTTATCAATGACGGTTTGAATTTCTTGAATTTTACGGCAGGAAAACAGTTTAACATGAAGAATAAGCCCGTTTATTTGAACATGATACTGAAATACTAGCAGGAATTGAAGAAAGACACATGAAAATCATCTTCAACAGGTCAGTGTATTTATTCAAATATTTTATGGCCATCTGCTGCCACCCAGTGGACATTATATACTGCCTTTTACAGTATGATGACCTAGATATGATGACCCAACCGGCGGTTACGGTGGAAACATTAGAGGAGCACTGAGGAGTGGGTTCCATACTGTAGCGGTTAGCACGCCTGCCTCAGAGGCAGAGAGCAGAGAGTCCTGGGTTCGATTCCCAGAGAAACCACATGCTAGGCACTTACTAACAAAACAACTTCGCAAATATGGAATCAATAGAGCACAATTTTTTTACTTTAATCTGTTAATATCAGAGTCTTTGAAATATTAATAATGAAGTACATTTTTTCACTGTGTTCCACTGCGGCTTGGTATCAAATGACCCACGGACTGAGGTTTGTGGACCTCTGACTAGACGCCCAGTGTTCCACAGCACAGTGGTCAGGAATCTGACTGTCGTTTGGCCAGACTAAAGGAGGAAGTTTATCTCAACGCCCGGCATGCGTTTGTTAGAGCTTTATCTTCAAGTTGGAAGCCCAGCTCGTGTCTGTCCTGCCACACGAGGCAGTAAGTCTATGGCTGACGAGTTGAAAGACAAAATTGCCAAATGGATTGTTGCCCTGGACTGTAGACGGTGATGAAAACAGTTGAAGACTGAAGTTTGAAAGCCCCCGTCCAGATTTGAAATTGTACTTTTTCATGTTTCTACCAGACGTTTTCACATTTTATTAATCTCATCGTTTGAATTAGTCATAAATAAAAACAGATGTAAAACACAAACATCCACCTGCTGTAGATCTGTCTTTCTAATGGGAGAAGTAATACATCATGATTAACCTAAAGCTACCCTGCAAGTAATCAGAGTTAAAAAAAATGTAACTTGACACTTCTACAATTAATATATTATTAAATAAATCTTATAAAAACTCCATAACATTTCAAAGCAAAAAAAAAAGGTAACCACTTTAGTAATTAAAGGTATGAAGGGATTAACGTCACTTCCTGTGTACACTACTGTATATTATAAAGAAAGCATTAAAAGAGTCTCCTCAGCAGCTGGTTTATCAGAGCAGCACAGAAACCACTGTCACAACAACAACAACCACAACAACAACAACAACAACAACAACAACCACAACAACAACAACAACAACACTTGGCTCCTCAGCTGCTTAAATATAATGAATGCACAAAAGTTTCCTCCCTTCTCCTCTCCTGTACTGTCTCCATCTTCTTTGCAGTAATTGAGGCAAACTTGGGATAATCTTTCATGCACTAAGACCCACCGTTTACAAAACGTACGAGACAGAGGAGGAGGAGGAGAGACAGGGCCACAAATGATGGCAAGGAGTGGAAGAAAAGAACAACAGTGTCGTGTGTTAAAGGGCTGAGGCAGTGTGCTGGATGGAGGATGAAATATAGAAAAATCTGAAGAAAAAAAGTTCAAGAAGCGAGAGGTTGAAAAGAGAAAGGATGGGAGGAAAAAAAAAAAAAAAAAAAAAAGGCGGCTCGGTCCCCGGCACGCTGGCTCTGAAATATGAGCAGCCTCGACAATTAGGGAAGTCAGGCAGTATGGCCCTTTCCACCATTGTGTGGAGTGGCTTAGAGTCCTCATCAGCCTATCAGCTAACTGACAGGCAGAGAGCTGCTCTATTCAGCACTGCAGATACAAGCTGCAGGCCAAACGGCTGCCAGGTCCCTTATGACCCCACAATCCCTTGCCGGTGACAGCTTCAAGCTCCATAGCAAATTAGGCGCTCTCACATTACAATCGCAGAAGACAGATTCCATTAACGGTATCTGAAATTGAGTAGAGAGCAGGCCCGTTATCAGACCTGACTCATAAGCACCGCCATTAATCACAAGGCATGATACCATTTATACATTTCCAGCTCTCTGCCTGCCGCTGTGATAGTCAGCCACAAAAGGCCTGATGAGACTTAGGCGAGGGGAACAATGGAGCTTTCTGAGGAAAGCGCGGTAAATCAGGAAAAAAAAAAAGGAAGAGGGAGAACGAGAGAAGGGTGAGGAAAAAAAAAAAAAAAAACTCTTGCTTGCTGAGTACTTTACTCTTTTTCTTGGGTTTTCTCTCTTTCTTTTCTTTTTCTTTCTCGTAAGTCATAAACGTGAGACACACATCTGGTGGGGGTCAACCGTGCTGATGTGGAGTC